CCTCAGCCTCCCAAAGGCACGGGATTACAGGCTGAGCCACCGAGCCCGGCTGTAACTTCAACTTGAAAGGGAACCTTTATCCTCTCACCCAGAATGGTCAAAGTCTGACAAGTTGTGGGCACTTCACTGGGAAAAGGAGGAGCCAAGACCTTTTGTGCTCAGGTCTTGGGCCACAAATACTTGAGCAGTCAAGAGATACAAATACCCTTGAACTCTACTGTCTTGAACTGTGTGGGCCCACTTATACATAGATTTTCTTTTCTGTCTGCCACCCCTGAGACAGCAAGACCAACCCCTCCTTCTCCTCCTCCTCTTCCTCGGCATACTCAACAAAGGCACAAGGATCAAGATGTTTATGACAATCTACTTCCACTTAATGAAGAGTAAATATATTTTTTCTTCCTTATGATTTTCTTAATAACATTTTCTTTTCTCCAGCTTACTTTATTATAAGAAAGTAGTATATAACACATAGAACATGCGAAATATGTGTTCATCGACTGTTTATATTATAGGTAAGGCTTCCAGTCAACAGTTGTTAAGTTTTGGGGGAATCAAAAGTTAGATGAGGCTGGGTACAGTGGCTCATGTCTGTAATTCCAGTTCTTTGGGAGGTTAAGGTGAGAGGACTGCTTAAGCCCAGGAGTTCAAAAACAGCCTGGGCAACCTAGTGAGACCTTGTCTCTTAAAAAAAAATTAAAAATTAGCCGGGTGCAGTTGTGCATTCCTGTCATCCCAGCTACTAAGGTGCTGAGGTGGAAGGATCACCTGAGCCCCTGAAGTTGAGGTTGCAGTGAGCCATGACTGTGCCACTGCACTCCAGATTGAGTGGCAGTGAGTTATAAGTGAATTTTCAGTTGTTCAGGAGATGACACCTTTAACTACGATGTTGTAGTCATAATTGACATGAAGTGAATGAGCATAGAGACAGAATAAGGACTGGTTGGGTGTGGGATGTGTATATGGAGGGGATACTACTTTCTAGAAGGTGATCTGAATTGAGGTGTGGAGGACAAGAAGGAACCAGGCACAGGTGAATTCTCAGAACAGCAAGAGTGACGATCCTGAGGATGGAGGGATGTTTGGATCCTGAAGAAAACAAAAATGTGAGGCTGGTATGGCCAGACACGACTGGAGCAAGGAGCAGAATGGGACAGGCTGAAGCTGGGTGGGAATTCATCAGTCACTGGATGGGGAGTTGATGTCTCGTGAAACACAGAAATCAGATGCCCACCTGGAGAGCTGGGGGTGGGGCTCACAGATGCGAGGGGTCCTGGAGAGAACGTGGAGGTCACTGGCGCTGAAAGAAAATACGGTGGGAATCAAGATTATTGGTCCTACCATGGAATGAGGGGAGGTTAAGACTTGATGGGAATCTGCATCTCTACCTTGTCTCAGCCTGAGATTTTTAGTGGTCTGGGGCTTCTCTGGGGCTGAGAACCTAGGGCGTGGAGGATACGTTTCTCCTGGGGAGGAGGCCTAGGGGGGAAGGTCCCAGGGGAATAGGGGTGGTCTCAGGGCCATCATTACTCACTGCTGGTGGCAGAGATCTTGTACCGATGGTTGTAGCCTGCAGGGGGTTGGGGAGAGAAAGGAGAGTGAAATGCTAGGAGGAGGCCAAGAAAGGGGTGAGGGTAGACTGGAAACACAAAGACACAAGCCTTCCTGAGTGCTTCCTCCGTGGTTTATCCTTAGAGAAACTACATTAATTAACTGCCTCCTATCTGGTGCTCCTATCTCAGGCTGAAGAAACAGAGGCCCAGAGAAGTTAAGTAGCTGGTCTGAAGTCACAGAGCACACCCAGGGCAGAGCCAGGATCAGATCCCCGAGGTCTTCATCCTTATTATCCTTCCTCTTCAGCTTCATCTACCACATAGACAATGATGATCAGAGCCCCCGCCACATTGTGGGGGTTTTCTGTGAGCCTGGAGTGATGCCAGCCTCACTAAATGAAGAGTTGGGTTGTCAACCTTATTTGCATTTTCTTCATCCATTAAATATAATTTTGTTTTTGCTCTCTGAGTTTTCCCCTTTCCTGTTTCCTAACTTTTCAAAGACAGTCTGACCTTTGGCAGTATATTTTCTGGAATTTTGTAATGTCAAATTGAGGAGAGAGAGAGAGAGAGTGAGAGAGAGAGAGAGAGAGAGAGACAGACTGACTTATGACTTATGGAGAAGGGAGAGGTTTGAGGGTCAGCCAGAGAATGTAAAGTTGGAGAATGAGAAGAAATGAGGAAAATATAATTTGAGTTAATTTGAGTAAGTATGAGGTTCTTGATCATGAATGAGATCCTCTTTGATGCTCTGCAAAGAAAACTTAGACTTATTTTATATTTGGTGGTCTGACTGGCTTTCTTGAAATGAAACTTCTGAGACAGGACCAAGTGGAGCCCTGTGATTTACCTGGGTTGTTCATGTTTTATTTCATTTGACCCTCGCAATAATCTTAGGTGACATTTAAAAAAAATTTTTTTTAGGTTGGGTGCAGTGGCTCACGCTTGTAATCCCAGCACTTTGGAAGACCAAAGCAGGAGGATGGCTTGAGGCTAAGTGTTTGAGACCAGCCTGGGCAGCATGGCAAGACCCTGTCTCTGTAAAAATATTAAAAATTAGCAGAGCGTGGTGGTGCACACCTGTGGCCCAGTTACTAAGGAGGCTGAGGCCGGAGGATCACTTGAGGTCAGAAGTTTGAGTGTGCAGTGAGCTATGATTGCACTGCTGCACTCAGGCCTGGGCAACAAAGCAAAACTGTGTCTTATGTTTTTTCAAACAATTTCTTCCATTCTAAAAAGGGGCAATTTTTTCCATTCTAAAAAGGGGCACATGGCTTTCTCAGGGCCACATAGTGAGAAAAAGGCAGGACCTTAAAACAAGACCTGTAATTCACCAAAACTTGCTAACTATTAACTAGTTAACACTGCTAACTATTGCTTTTAAGTCACTCCCAATGACCGTTGAAATACAATGCAGGGTTTAATCCAGGTATAAATAAAATGTCCAAGGAAGTATACTGTGGACATAATTCAACAAGCATTAGTTTAAATTATTGCATTAGAGGCTCCCTGATATAACTTCCCATCCTGAGATTTGGGCTTGCTCTTGTTGGATTTGTCTGCAGCATAGCCTAGAAGTCAGGAGACCTAGATTTAAGAGTCATTTTAAGGCTTGAGTTCCAATTCTGTCATTTATTAGCTGTCTAGGCTTGGGCAAATAGATTCTCTCCCCTGAAAGTTGTTTACTTCTCTTTTTTTACCTATGTATCTAACTATGTATCTACTTAGGTATGTATGCATGTATGTATGTATGATGTATGTATGTGTGTATGTATCAATCAATCATGTTACATTCTTCATAGAGTGTTGGGTAGGATTAGTAAGACATAAAATATATGTATACATGAAGTTCTGGATCATAGGAACCCTTTGATAAATATTAGCCTTGATCATAGGTGTTTCTGTTTGTGTGTTGTTGCTAGGAGCATTGTTGCAAAGGGCTTTATTGCTAAAAACATTACTCAGGTTTTTGTGGCTCGATTCTCAGGTGGGGTGTATGGTTCCAGCTGACCCTTGGAGAAAATAAAGGGCCACAAGCTGCCATAAGGAAGAGAAAGAAGTGGATCTGTCATTGCATTGGGAACCTGTTGCCTTGTGGAGAAGGATAATTGCCAGCAGCCACCATGGGTACCTTACCCACTTCCTTCCCTGATTCCACATGCTTCTCCTGGGCCTCTGTGGTTAGTCACAGACTTGAGAAGACTGTGGAGGGAATCTTTATTTCCAGTTGAAAGATTATTTTTAAGTGTGTTGAGTGGAGAGAAAACTGAGCCTTCGTGGAAATTCTAGGTTGGCCGAGAACTATGAACATGGGTACAGAGAAATTGCACCACAGGGAGACCCATTAGGAAAGCAAGAAAAGCCCCTTAGCTGTAGTCTCGCTGCTCACCATTGACATAGAGACTGTCCCTGTCTAGGATGTAGGAGCCCAGCCGAGTGACGCCATGGGTCAACTGGCTCAGCTCCCAATACAGTCTCTCTCTGTCCAGCTTGAGGCCTGTGGGATCTGGGTGGTAGGTGCAGATGACGTCTATTCTGGTGCCTTTCCCAACATTTTCATCCCTAAGGAGGGAAGGACAGGGGAAGAGGAACATGTAAGGACACTTGAGAGTTGATATTCTTGATAACTTCTTCCTCTGATTGTGTCCTATGGTTTTTACATCAATTCTCCTCCTGGGTTTCCTCAGACATGGCTTTTTCTGTCTCATTTGGGGATACAGACCCCCTGACCCCAGTCTCATTAAACGTAGTGTTCTCCACGGTTACTTCTTAGTTGTTTCTTATGCTCCCCATTCTCTTTTTATTCATTGGTTCAAGCTCATTTTTGTCAATGTATCTCACCACACTCTCTGTCCACCCAGGAAGGTGTCTACTCCAGGAATAGCTGAGTCCTATTTGGGCCATGGGGTTGAGATATGGAGTTTGCAGGGAGGAAACTAAGCACCCCGCACCCAGGCAGCACATGGAGGGAAAAGCCAGAGGGCTGGTTGTGACACTCTGGAACAACCATCAAGAGCCTAAAGGGAAGACTTCATTTCAAGCTGGTGAATCCCAAGGCTGGCTTCAACCCGTTGGGAACATGTTTTGGGTAGCTAACCACGTTTGGAGAAAAGCAGAGAAAATGAGTTGAGAAAGAATAAGGGGCCATGTATTTCCAAAATACCTTTGTCATGAGTTTCAGTGGACCCTACAGTGATTCCCTCAAAGGGAAGGCTTCACAGGTGGGGAACAGAGCCCTTTCCCCATTGCCTGAGCATTCGACTCACTGTTCTGATCTGTGCTATCCAAAGCGTTCCCATTTCCTGCCCCTATGGTATAGTGCAGTGGGTTCTAGAAGTGTGGTCTAGGGACCCCTGGTGTCCCCAGAACTCTTACAGGGAATCCATCAAATAAAGAATATTTTTACAATGATACTAAGACATAATTTTCACTTTCATTCTCTGAATTATACAGTGGGTTTTCCCAAAGCCCACATGAGGTGGTATTTTATCAGAATGAAGTCAGAAGCAGATCTAAATCAGACATCAAAAATATTGGCAAATAATACATAGTTTCAAGTAGCTAGAAGGAGGATAGCAAATGTTCCCAACACAAAGAAATGATCAATGGTTGAAATGATGAATTTGCTAATTATCCTGATCGTATCACTATATAGTATGTATCAAAGCATCATTATAATGCATAAATATGTGCAGTCATTATATGCCAATTGAAAAATAAAATTTAAAAATCAAAATAAAAAAGTAAGCCAGGTGCGGTGGCTCAAGCCTGTAGTCCCAGCACTTTAGGAGGCTGAGGTGAAAGGATTGCCTGAGTCCACGGGTTCAAGACCAGCTTAGGCAACATGGCAAAACCTTGTCTCTATGGAAAAAAAAATTAGCTGGGCATGGTGGCACATGCCTGCCATCCTGGCTACTCGGGATGCTGAGGCAGAAGGATTGTCTGAGCCTAGGAAGTCAAGGCTGAGGTGAGCTGTGATCATGGCACTGCACTCCAGCCTGGGTGACAGTGAGATCCTGACTCAAAAAAATGTAATAAGTGTATTGTTTTTAATGAATATTTATGAAATGTTTTCAGTTGTAATTTCTCATTAACTCCTAGAAGATATAACCCCCAAGACCACAGGCTCTTTGGCATTCTAAATACATTTTTAAGAATGTAAAAAGTCACTGAGGTGAGTGGATTGCCTGAGCCTGCGGGTTCGAGACCCGCCTGGGCAGCGAGACTTCATCTCTACAATAAATCAAAAAATCAGCCGGGTGTGGTAGTGCATGCCCATTATTCTGGCTACTCGGAAGGCTAAGGCGGAAGGATCACCAGAGCCCAGCAGGTCGAGGCTGCGGTGGCCGGGAGCAGCCACTGCACTCCAGTCTGGGTGACAGAGTGAGACTCCAACTCAAAAAAAAAAAAAAAAAAAGAATGTAAAAAGTCGTTGGGAGGAGGAAATGAGATGATGCTGATGAAAGGGTTGCAAGTCATAACATTAACAAGTTTAAGTTATAAGATGAATAAATTCTGGAGACCTAACGTACAAGAGTGGTGACAAAAGTTAACAATATACGGCATGTTTGACATTTGCTAAGATCAGTCTTAAATCTTCTCAACACACACAAATGGAAACTCTGGAGAGGCAATAGATATGCTAGTTTGCTGGATTGTAGCGGTAATTTCACAATATATGCCCATATCAAAACATCAAGTTGTATACCTTAAATAGACACAATTTTATAAGTCAATGATATCTCAATAAAGCTGTTTAAGAAAATAACCTAAACTGAATGCAGAGGCTCATGCCTGTAATCCCAGCATTTTGGGAGGTGGAGGCGAGAGGATTGCCTGAGCCCAGGGGTTCGAGACCAGCAACTTGGCGAGACCTTGTTTCTACAATAAATCAAAAAATTAGCTGGGTGTGCTGGTGCATGCCTGTGGTTCCAGCTACTGGGAAGGCTGAGGCGGAAGAATCATCTGAGCAGCGCAGGTAGCTACGGTAACCGTGAGTGTGCCACTGCACTCCAGCTTGGGCGACAAAAGGGAGACTCTGACTCAAAAACAAAACAAACAAACAAAAAAACAAAATTGAAAACATTGCTGAACCCAGGAGCTTGAGAACTCCTGGTACCATGGTTGCAGGTGGGGATTCTAGAACCAGAAGTCTAGGAGAGGCTCAAATCTATGAGGCTCCTCTCAAGGGAGGAGCTTGATTATTCCAAGCCCCAGTTGTCTCATCTACAAGGTGGGATAACAATAGTGTGGTTATGAGGATGAGATGGAGGGAAACATGTAAACCATGTTGTTGGGTGGCTTGTGGGAAGAGCAATGTTGTAATTGTGAATTCCTCAACCTAGAGAGAGACGGGGTGGGCTGGGCCGGTGGAGCTCAAATGAGGACAGTTTGGGTCTACGATGTCCAGGAATCTCTCTTCATGAAGCCATGTGAGTAGAAGATTCTCTGGCAGAGGGTCTGGGTTGGCTGGATGGAGGACCCACTGAGAGGCCACAGGGTCATGGAATAGAGTGTAAGGAAAAGGTACTGAATCCACTGAACTCAGAGGTCACCAAGGAGACATAGGCAGAGAGGACAAGATAGGTCATTTCTGCAAAAAGTTTAGGTCCATCTGAGATGTTTCAAATTGCAAAATATCTTGGTGATGTTCAACTTATTTGTATAAATTTAAGGGGAACCAGTGTAGCTTTGTTGCATGGATAGGTTGTGTCGTGATGTAGTCTGGGCTTTTCCTGTGTCCATCACCCAAACAGTGTACTTGGTACCCATTAAGGAATTTCTCATATCTCACCCCCTACTATGCTTTGGGGTCTACACCGTCTATTATTCCACACTCTATGTCCTTGTGTCCACATAATTTAGTTCCCACTCATAATTGAGAAGTGCGGTATTTGTCTCTCTGCTTCTGAGTTGTTTCACTTAAGATAATGATTTTTCCCTTTGGTTCAGTGAGATTTCCTTTGGGAAAGTCTCTGTCTTCTTTCAGGGAACAAACTGCAGAGCTGCGATGTCCAGGGTTTTTCCCCAGTAAAGGAGAGATGGGCTGGGCAGGGAGCCTGTCAGGGATTCTGGCAAAAATGCTAGACCTAGACAATGCTAGACAGCCCACAGAATGGGAAAAATTATGGGCCAACTGTATACCAGACAAAGGCCTAACATCCAGGATCTATGAGGAACTCAAAGGAAAAAAACAAAACAGCCCCATTAAAAAGTGGGCAAAAGACATGAATAGATACTTCTCAAAAGAAGATATACAGACAGCCAACAGACAAATGAAAAAATTCTCAGCCTCATTAATCATCAGAGAAATGCCAATCAAAACCACATTGAAATACCACCTCACCCCAGTAAGAACGGCCATCATTAATACAACAAAGAACAACAGATGCTGGCGAGGATGCAGAGAAAAAGGAATGCTTCTACATTGTTGGTGGGAATGCAAACTAGTTCAACCTTTATGGAAAACAGTGTGGTGATTCCTAAAAGAATTAGAAATTGACCTTCCATAAGACCCAGTGATTCCCCTGTTGGGAATATACCTGAAGCAACTCAAATCATTCTACCAGAAAGATACCTGCACACGCATGTCTATTGCAGCACTATTCACAATATCAAAAACATGGAACCAACGGTGCTGCCCATCAGAACAGGACTGGGTAAAAAAAATGTGGTACATATACACAATGGAATATTACACAGCCATAAAGAAGGACAAAATTATGGATTTCACAGCAACTTGGATGGATTTA